GCCTCTTCCCAGATCAGGTCTGGACACTCCCACGGCATCTTTGGTATTTCAGGGTCTCCTTGGCCAGGAGTCCAGGTGGCCATTGCCAGGCTGCAGGTGGCTCATGGGGTGAAGGCTCTAAAGAGGCAGCAGGTGGGGTGCTGAAAGGGAACAGCAGCTCCCAAACACAGGCTGGCCTCAGCCTCGGGGCAGGCCAGGCTGGGGGACTCCTGGGCAGGGGGGCCAGAGTTTACACAGGTCACTGCCCACCGGCTCCCACTGATTCGCACCCCACCCCAGCCCCAGCCCTACCCTGGGTCACCTTCGGGGAACATTGCAAAATCTTGGCCCGATTCTGTTGGCTCCCCTCCCTGGCGGGTGAGAGGCCAAGACAGAGGCCAGTGGAGGTCAGTGGGAAGGCCTCTCCCTGACTTGGCCAGGCTGCAACCCTGCGTAGGCACTGGAGGGGGTGCAGGGGTGCCTGTGCTGGTTGCATGCAGGCTGGGCCAGGGTCGCAGAGCTCCCAGAGCCCAGTGTGGAGTCAGGGCAGGGGTGGGTGCCGGTGCCAACCTGGGCACTGTTTGGGGGACTACGAGGGCTGGGGAGGGGCAGGCCCAGGTGGGCCAGGGGTTCCTGCAGCAGGAACAGAGGCCCAAGGGCGCTCTGGGTGACGGCTGTGACTGTGAGCCGAGTCACTGGGACTGACCCTGATGGCCCAGGGCAGCCCAGGAGGGTCGGAGGCAGGACAGTGACGTGCTGACAGTAGGACCTGGGAAGACCTGGCAGCCTGAGGGAGCAGAGAGGAGCCGAGATGAGGGTGGGGCGAGGGAGGAGGACAGGTGGGCTGGTGGGGGTCTCCCAGGCACGGCCTAGGTTGAGGTGCATCGACAGGACCAGGACAGGTCAAGCAAACCTTTCCAGCTGCCCCTGAAAAGGGGCCGACTGAAGAGGCCTTGGTTGTTGGTGTGGGGACTAGGGTGGACACAAGGAAGAGGGCCCAGGACAAACCTGAGGGGGACTGGGCAGGGCAGGCAGAGCTCCAGGAAGCCAGGGGCCTGGGATAGCATGCCCTTGAGTATGTGCCCACCCTTGCTCCCCGGCTGTGATGCCCCAGATCCGTGGGTGTGTCTGTAAGTGTGTGATGGTCTCTGTGTGTGTCTGTGAGAGATGAGTGTGCATGTGTGTGTGAGTATTGGAGACAGAGTGTGAGTGGCCCAGGCCACCTTCTATCCACTCTCCTCTTCCTCCATAATCTGGGGAGGCCAGCCTGGCTCCAGTCACCATGGCAACAGTGCACCCCTCCTGCCAGCAGGATGGGGTGACCCAGTGTGGCTGGCTGTGCAGGGCAGGGGCGGGTTGGGGGTGCAGCCCCTCTGGCAGGGTCTGCTCTGCTCCCGGCTTGGGAAACACCTGCCTTGAGAGGACAGGAACTTGAAGAGGCACCTGCCCCAGCATGGCTCTGCCCCTCTCAGCAGGATGGCACCACGCATGGAGGTGCCCACACCACGCTGGCCTGAGCCTCGGGCACTCCGAGGGATGGTGGAGGCCAAAGGACAGGCATGGTGCTCTGTGGTCAGTGGGGCAGCAGGATAAGGACCTGGGGCCTCAACCCCAGCTGAGCTCTCCTCCTGGTGGCCTCTCCCTGCCGTCCGTGGGAGTGGCCCCAGCTCTGCTGCCCGTGGAGGTACTGACCTGGGCTGGGCCTGCCCGTGTGGCCCAGAGCTATTTTTAAGGTCCACCGGATGGGCCTTCCAGGAACCAGGAAAAAACAAGTGGGGACTGGCATCCTGTACTGCCTGGGACATGGCGGGGATGGGTGGGTCAGACTTGCAGAGAAGGGGTGGCCTGGGGTCACTTACCAAAAGCCATGCCCAGGGCAGAAAGGTGAAAGGCCCTTGGGTCTCAGATTCAGCTTTGTACCCGCCCCCTCTACAAGGAGAGCAGGGGCTCCACAGCCAAGAGGACCCCTCAGAACCTCAGTTTGCCAAGCTGAGAAATGGGGTGGGTCATGCCCACCTACAGGGTAGGGGCAGGGCGAGGTAGGCAGCACCCTGCCTGAGTCCTGTCCACTTGGCAGGGTCATCTGGGGTGCTGGGGGCCCCCAATGCCAGAGTGGACACGGGGCCCTGTGTGGCTGCACAAGCAGAGATAGCAGGCCCCCTGCCCAGCCCATCCTTGAGCTGGATGGAGCCTGAAAGAGGCCCCCATGGCAGGACAGCCTCTCACAGAGGAGGACCAGGTCGGTATCTAACCATTGATTGCAGCTAGGTCCCTGGGCCCGTCTGGGGTCGCCTTCAGGTGTGACCCCCCAAGCATGCACACTCACCTGCCTCAAAGGCCTGGGCTGGCCTGCTGGCTCCCTCAGCACACCCAAGCCCCCTCCCCCAGGTCACACCTCTTCACTGCCAGCGTCACTGTCCCCGTGGGTGCAGGACATGCACACATACAGAGGCTCACACGACAGCACGGCTACAACACACACACCAGTGTCCAGGAGAGACGGACGCTGAGGAAACCCCACCGCAGGAAAGAGGCTGCCTCCTGCTCTGTCCTCCACTCCCATACCAGGTGGGGGACCCCTCCCCACTGCCAGAGCCCTCAGAGGCCCCTTCCACCTTCAGTTTGGGGAGGAGGAGCTGTCGAGGGTGGGACACACACTGCCACTTTGTGAAGGAGTACGTGCACACTGCTCTGAGTTTGGGGAGACTCAAGGTCTTCAGATCAAGATTCAGGAGCTGGTGGGGTGCAGGGGAGTGCCCTCCCCCCCAGGATGCGGGCCCAAGGCTACTCCTAAGGCCACAGGCCAGCTGGGCACACGGGCCAGGACACCTGAAGAGGACTGGCCTGGAGATTCACACACCTGGCTGGGGGCCCACTGGGGAGGCCACTGAAGACCTCAGCCCCTCTCAGCTGAGTCAGATGTGCCCTCAGAACCACATCTTCATGTGGTCACCATCTAGACCCAGTACACTCTCCAGCACTCCCACCCTCCCCAGCTCCAGGTTCCGGACCATTAACAGCCTGACCCGAGGGCACCCCCCCCCGAGGGGGCAGCTCTGGGGCACCTCTGCTGGCCTTCTCGAAGGACCCACAAGTGGACAATAGCCCCTCCTCCTTTGCAGGTGCTGTGTGGGTTCCACTGAAGGGGCGGGCTCTGGCACCCTACCTTCAATCTGACCCTGTGGGGAGTCCTGCACTGGCCTAGGGCCCATGATTAACCCAACAGACCCGGCCCTGCCCTTATGGACCCACACTGCAGGAGTTGTGGACAGAGCTGCAGTGAGGCAAGAGCCTAAGAGCTTCACCAATGGAAGGTCCACTTTCTGTCCTGGGACAGTGACGGTGGCAGTGAACGGGTGTGACCAGGGTGGCGGGAAGGGGGGTTGGGTGTGCTGAGGGAGCCAGCAGGCCAGCCCAGGCCTCTGAGGCAGGTGAATGTGCATGCTTGGGGGGTCACACCTGAAGGCGACCCCAGACAGGCCCAGGGACCTAGCTGCTGGAGTCAATGGTTAGATACCCACCTGGCCCCCAGGGGCCACCAGGAGCACCTGCAATGCCAGAAGGACCAGTACCCTGGCCTCTGGCTCCCCCAACCCTCAACCCTCTCTGGGATTGGTGTGGGAGGCAGTGGACGCCTGGGGCTCAGCCACCGGGGCTGGCAGACAGCTGCTCACACCTCCGAGTCCTGACCTGCTCAGGCCGGTGACCTTGGACTGAGGTCGGGAACCCGTGGGGTTGGATCACGCCACACAGGTGAGTCTGTGTAGTACAGGAGACACAGAACAGTCTTAGGTCCCGACCAGGGCCACGCGGACCCGGGCTAGCTCAGGCCTTGACAGCAGCAGCGAAGGTGGACTCCCGGGTGGAGGTGGACAGGAGCTGGACCTGAAGGGCAGCCAGGTGGGTGGAGAGAAGGGGAGCGTGCTCCAGCACCAGGACGGCAGAGCAAAGGTTCCGGGAGAGGAGGCACGGTTAGGGAGGGACCTCGGGCTGCAGGCTTGAGGTCAATCCCAGTCAGAACGGCGGCCCCGGGATGGGCAGGGTAGGGCCTCTGCCCGCGCCGGGGCTCCGACCCGAGGCGCTGCCGCCGAGCCGGGTCCCCGAGGGGGCGGCGCCGCCTCCCCGCGCCCGGTCACCTGCGCGCAGGGGCGCGGACGGCCGAAGACGCACGCGCACACGCACGCCCTGGGTCGCCTCCCGAACTCCCGCCCCTGGGGCTCCGCGCCAGCACCGAGCTCCGGCCGCCCGCGCCGGCCCTGCGGGGAAGGCGCGAGCGTCGCCAGTCACCTTCCCGGAGCTCCCGGGGGCGGGGCCCACGAGTCCCCGCCCCACGCGCGCCGCCACTGGCTGGGCCCCGGCGCCCACTGGAAAGCCCGCGCCCATTGGCTCTCGCGGCCCCGCCCCAACGCCTCGGCCACCGCCCGCGCGGAAGCTGCGCATGCGCGGGGCGTGTGAGCGCGGAGAGGGGCACACGCCACGCCGTGCGCCTCCGCGCCTCCACCACAGCAAACTAGTCCCGGGCGGC